AAAAAAAAATATACCGGGCCTGTCTCACAAATATACAGCAAGCCGCATATATTTCGACAAACAACATTAATAATCAGAACTAATTGTGCTTTTAATAAACAAACGCCTCTTGCATTGACCCGATAATTTTCATTCGCTTAGCTTGAGTTTTGAATCCCAATTTCATTGGGACAACATCTGTTATAAAAATCTGTAGTTAAGCCACTATTTACTATTTTATTTTATAGAACATTTATGTAACTTCTGGTACCTCTGTATACACCATGCATGTTTAATGTCTACTAATGAGTGTGGAGTGAAGTCAGTGGTAACATCGCTCAGCAGAGAATTCTGTTTTATGCCACTACAGTAGAGATAACAGCTCAGTACAACTTGTATTTGGTCAATTATAGCCACTCTCAACGATTTGTGAATTTACGACATCATTATGCCATTGGAACTTCGTTCAAAATCGAAAATTCATTCACCTGCAGCCGGTGACCAGCAGACCTCAAAATATTTTTAAGATGGCGACGCCACTGGTGACGATGCTTCGGAACTCGGTAATGTGAGTCAATGTCTGTCTGTGAGTTCAATGAAAATGCTGATAAAGGAATGTCTAAAAGATTTGGTGAGTACAGTAGATGGTGTTTCCGAAACAGTAAACAGCATTCTAGCGGAACAGAAAGCTATCACGGCACGTGTTGTGTCAGTAGAAAAAAGGGTAGACGAGTTAGAAAATGGAACGACTTTTATTGACAAAGAAGTAACTAATGTAAAGTCCAGGCTTGCCGAGCTAGAAAAACATGTAGGTCAACTGCATAGAGAATTATCAGTGGCAAACGAGAAAATTACATCAAATGGTAATGCCCAACTCAACCTGGAGCGTTACTCTCGTAATTATAACTTGCGGTTTGGTGGTATACCGGAACAAAGCGGCGAAGATTGTGAGAATGTTATTAGATCACTTATTAAAGACAAATTTAGTATTCCTGACATTGCGATAGACAATGCCCATCGCACACTTGTTGTGTCAAAGAGCAGAGATTCTTCTCGTACTTCACCTAGACATATCATCGTCAAGTTTCCACTACGATTGCAGCGCCGGAAAATTTTATCTATGCGCCAAGAAGTGTTAAAAAACACCAGTATACTTGTGCAAGTGGATCTTTGTCCAGCAGACTATAACATTAAACGAAGTTACCGCGACGTAATGAATATAGCTTATAAGGATGGTAAACGTGTCCGTTTTCATAACGGCAGGTTGTACATAAATGACAAAGAATATGTCAAACCAGGCACATAATATACACTGTTTTTTAGATGCTGATTCTAAAACAATTTGCTTCTTTATGCAACATTTATTTATTTACTTAACTTGACCGGTTGGTTATGTTTTGGTTAAAATTTTTACCACTCAATTAATACCTCCGTTTACCGAATACCAACCATATTCAACAACTAAGAGCGGTGCTCACCTGCATGTTGGTTATGTGCTAAATTAAATTCTAACCAAGCCAAAATGTTATTTCATTCGGTTTACAACGTATTTTCAGTTAGATTTTACGGTAAAATTCATCTTATTCTGCTTTCCTTTCAAACAATTAAGAAACAAAACAAAACAAAACAAAAGCAATTTGTAATTCGAATTCAGAACTGAATGTAACGAATTAAATGATGGATATAATGAATTAATCATTGCAACTATTATAAATGGGTTTAGATTCTTGTTACTACCTTCTAACTACCTTATCCAACATGATTTGAATTTGAATGTCACATGTTACATTATGTAACAATAGCAAACAGCCAACGTGATTAGAATTCCGTATACGATTGTATACGTATACGGTTGATTGTCAATTGCGTGACTGATCGATCGATTGATTGACTGACTGATTGTCCATTAATTGATTGACAGTGTGGTTTAATTATTCAGTTATTAATTTATTTAGCCATTTCAAACTGAATATTTAATAAGTAAGTGGCATATGTTTAATTAAATGTAATATTGTATAATTTGCTGGGTAGATAGTTACCTCAAAAACAGCACCTTGATGGCTTTATTTATCTTTAGTGTTTGTTTGTTTGTATTTATTGTTTATTGTACTCTGTGTGTGTCCAATGGCGTTGTAGCAACTTGGCACAATTTATACTTGTACTTTAATTATTTGTTTGTTGGTTTTACAGAGCTATCTTTCCTCCAGTCTTACAATGCAGCATACCGTTACCCATATATAGTTGTCTACATAAAGGATAAATATCTACCAACATAAATATAATTTCCCTAAATGTCCGGGGACTTGCTGACGCCAAAAAGAGAGAGAAGGTTTTCTAATGGCTAAACGATGGTAAATATAATGTCATTATGCTTCAAGAGTGTCATTCTACCCCAAAAGATGAACTTAGCTGGCAAAACCTCTTACCAGGCCACTATATATTTTCTCATGGAAGCTCTGCTAGCAAGGGGACATTAACTATCATTAGTGTCTCGGACTATCAAATTAACCATGTAAAAATTGACAAGGACGGAAGATCAGTCATAGTCTCAATCAATATAGCAAACACATCTTATCTTTTTATCAATACGTATGCCCCAACATCTAAAGCCGAACACCACATATTTCTCCATGAACTTTCTACTTTTCTAGGAGATTTTCAATCAAACCTGGAACTGGAAATTATTTGGGGAGGGGACCATAACCTAACTCTATATAATAAACTTGATAGGTCAGGGGGTAATCCAGTGGTCTGGGAAAGTTCTATAAAAGCCATGGAAAATATCATGACACAATTTGATTGAACAGACATCTGGAGAATTAGAAACCCAACTAGGACGACATTAATTCAGAGTCGTCTTGACTATTTTCTTGTCAGTAATTCGTTGCAAACGTCGGTATCAAAATGTGATATTGTGCCCAATGCATTATCTGATCACTCTGCTGTTACTATTTATATCGGAGACCAAGGGGGGAGATTGGGGAATTCATATTGGAAATTGAACAACAGCTATCTAATAAATAATGAATATATTGAATTGATTAAAAATAATTTACAAAACTGGGAGAAGGAATATAATAACCCAAACAATCCCCAAGGCCTATGGGAGTTTATGAAATTTAAAATAAAAATTAATTCTATTTTATTTGGGAAACGCATGGCAAGAAAACGACGAGAGTCGAGGAATTTACTTGAAGCCAAGCTGGAATCTCTTGATATAGAACTTAGTCTGAATGACTGTGAGAATTTAAAAGTTGAAATTGCAAACGTTCGTAGAGATTTAGATTTGGAGTACGAATATTTGGCTAGGGGGGCCCTCATACGCGCACGTGTAGATTGGTATGAACTAGGGGAAAAGAACACAAAATATTTTTTAAGTTTGGAAAAGCACAATGCAAAAAAGTCCCAGATTACCCAACTATTTGATACGTC